TCTTTATGGCTGAGTAATATTCCATTTTATAGAAAAACCACAACTTCTTTATCCAGTTTCCAACGGATGGGCAAATAGGCTGTTTCCAAGATTTAGCTATTACAAACTGTGCCGCTATAAACATGGGTGCACATACTTCTCTGTGATATGATTCTTTTAGTTCTCTTGTAAAGATACCCAGCAGAGGGATGGCTGGGTCAAATGGAACCTCCAGTCCAAGCTCTTTGAGGTATCTCCATATTGATTTCCATAGTGGTTGCACTAGTCTGCACTCCCACATCGCAAATTAATTCTTAATCCATGAAGCATTTAGTGGACCTCGAGGACCCTTTGAAAACCCTGCTCTTGCTGAGAAGTTTGTAGTGCTTCTGCCTATGACTCTTTTTGGGTCCAAAGCTGTCTTTGAGCCCAGGAGGTCCAGAACTGCTGCTTTGCACTTGGTCACTGTTTTGGATCCACTCTAGGCCAGGTCTGCAGGTGCTCTCCACATATCTGTGGAGTGTGGGGTGTGCTCCCCCTATGAGTGTGTGCAGACAACACTGATACCCATCACTCACACTTTTGGGCTTGGCCTTGACCCCATCTAGGCCCATTCATCTGAGGCAATGATCCTACAGAGAAACTGTGTGTTTTGATTGTTTTCATATTTTTCTACAAATGTGTAAGTCTTTATTAAAATTCTCTGTGTAACTGTTATACAATGTAAATTTTTAATAGACTCTTATTACTAACTTAAAAGAATTAGTTGCTACAAAAATGTTTTTAATGTTTCAGAGAACAGTAAGTACCTAGGCATAAGCTTGTCATCTCTATTTTAAACTCTTATCAGTTACTGACTAAATTGGCTTTGGTTTTTCTGTCTGCCAGGTAGGCCTCCTCTGCTTTTTCACACCAGTAGTGCTACTGGCACAGCTATCTAATTTTCAGTATAGGAATAGTAGGATGCATTCACACCTCCATAGCAGGTGCCGATTGATCTTCCCAGACCCAGCTATGGAGGCAGTTCTCTTGCCAGAACTGTCCCCACAGAGGTAGGTCTTTGGCAGCTTATTTACTCATCTTTATTTTTTAAGGTAAAACATGGGAAGGCTGATTCCAGAGAGCAGGGGAAGGGAGGACTTTGTATATATATATATTTCTCTTTATTGTGCACAAACTGCAGCCAGGCTGTCTTTAAATCAGCCAGCATCCTCTTGCTAATGGAATTTCAAATTCAGGCACTTCCCTCCCTGCCTTATCTTTTTAGTGGATGCCCTCATCTCCAGCAGGAATGGAGTGAGGAGATATCTGCTTAATAGAAAAGATGATCATGATGGGGATTCTTTAAAAAATGCCCATATTTTATAATATGCATAAAATTCATACTCAAATGCTGAGTTGCAATCTGAGCCAAGGCCTTGCCTAGGCACATGCATCCTCCTTTTCTCCACACAGCACACCTGTGAGGCTTCATCAGCATTCCAGGTCCTTACATGGAGTAAACAATCTTTCCTGAAAACATGGATGTCAGTCTTCATGTTTGTAGTATCTCCCACTTGTTTTACTCATACCTGATTTGACAGCTGTGTTTTAGTGATTCGTCTTTGTTGAACCTTTCTGAAGAATTCATACTGTTTCTTTTGACAGTCACATGACACTGATTATACAATATTTCACTAAATTATTTATTCAGAGTAAAAAGAGCACCTGGCATAAACGGCTTTGGGTACATGGATAACTTACTCTTAGTGAGCAGGTAGCCCCTATGGCAACAACTGCAGAGTCCTACTTCTGGTTAGAACAAGTTAGATGAATGACTAAAGGAAAGCTACATAACCTGTCTAAGTAATGGTTTGCTCATCTGTAAAATAAGGATAAGAAGAGTCATTACTTGGTTGAGTTGTGGGTACTGAATCATGCCTGTAAAGCACTTTCCTGCCTCTTATTACAAGTACTTGAAAAGTAGCTATAGGTAGCTGGGGATTTAGCTCAATGGCATCGTGCCTGCCTTGCAAGCACAAGGTCCTGAGTTCAATCACTGGCACCAAAAAAAAAAAAAAAAAAAAAAGAGGTCGCTATTATTTTTATGTGTATGACTGTCCCAACAACTCTTATTTACCAGTATCATTCCTGAAGAGTAGCCTCTTAGCTATGAATGTGTTCTTGGATTAATCAGTGGTTTTTCAGAGTGGATAGAAAGTTAGCTCAGTGGTTGGTTAAGAGCTTCCTTAGTGAAATGCATGGCTTGAAAGTGAATTTACTCATGTGTTTCATGAGCATCTACTATGTGCCAAGCATCATGCTAGGCTCAGAGAATCTAGCAGTAACCAGCTGCATTCCTGCCTGTGAGAGCGTCTATTGGAGGAGGACATATAAATTACCCATAACAGTGAACACTAGCACAGCAGATCAGCCCAGCTTGCCTCCACTGGGGGGCACTTGAGGTGAGCAGATAGTGGACAGGGAAGTCTTTGCCGAAAGGTTGCACCCCAGCTCTGAGCTAAAGGTCAGAAGGAGGCAAAAGGTGGGGGACAACATTTGGAGAAGGCCTTAGGGGTCCAAGGGCCACCTGCAATTCTGCCACATCAATGCATGGAGAGCATAAAGGGTAGTGATTGTTCTCAAGTTGGCCAGATCACGTGGAGGTGGGCACACCCACATGCACAAACCCACGTGTCCCACCCTACTGAGAGAGCAAGGGCAGGGTCTATCGCCACCACCAGGATGAGAATGTGGGCGTCCAGATGGATTCAGTGACTTATTCTGCTCACACAGCTCATAGTTTTGGGATTCATGCCATGCCGGGTGTGTTTGCCTTCAGCCACCCATCATGTTGGGGAGAAGGATGCGCCCTCCATTGAGGATGTAGGGCAGAGCAGGCTGAGAGAGAAGAGACAGGATGCGAACTGGTTAATTTCTCACCATCGTGAGCTGGAAAAGCCTCTCTGGCACCTGCGGGAGGGTGAGGTGGGAGTTTACATCAGGAGTGGGTGAAGGTTGTGAGTACATTAGGGCAGGCAAATGGGGAGAACTTTCTGTCGGATTCTTGCTGTTAGGGCAGAACCTATTTGCTTTTCTCTTGGCTATTTTAAATGTGTTTGAGTAGAATTACCTGGCCACTTTTGAGAAAGGTGAGCCTTTTTGTTCCCTGGCTTCTGAGTTCCCAGTAGAGGAGTGGTTCCCACTCATCTTTTTTTCTTTTTTTTTTTTTTTGAGACAGGGTCTCACTATGTAGTTGTGACTGACCTGGAACTCACTATGTAGCCTAGGCTGGTCTCGAACACACAGCAATCCTCCTGCCTCAGGCTCCCCAGTGCTGGGATTATAGGCGTTAAGCCACCTCGCCCGGCTCCCACTCATTTTGATTGGAGCTCATGCTGTCATCAGACAGTTGGCACTAAAAGAAGCCATCTTGCTTTTGTTTATGACCTGGCCTTTGCCACCTTTGACTTGGGGTTGTACAGCTGACAATTTTAGATGGATTCTCAAGGTTGTCTTTCCTAGGAACCTTAGCTGGAAAGGACTGATGGTAGAAAGTTGGGCCACTGTGCCCTGTCTGAGTTGCTACAGTGAAGGGACACTGATACATGTAATGTTTGCATTTTTTCCTCTTCCCCTCTAGATGGATTTGAAGATTATGGTCCAGATTGTGACAGCATGAGGCTAACAGCCTTCTTGGATGTCCCAAGCCAGGATGACCTGCCCCCACTCACACGCCTGGAAAAGTACGCTTTTAGTGAAAACATCTTCAACCGGTAAGCACAGAGGTCCTTCACATGCCCATAGCCTGCTGCTTTATTTGGTTCACACTGATGCTGGTGGCCACCTCTCCGTGACAGCTTTGGGGAGACTCCTGTGAGGTGGGATACATGCTGCTCCAGGATTCTTGGATTCTGTCTGAATGCACCTTTTTATTTTTATTAGGCTTTTCTGTCATTTCTCTTACTGTTTTACTGATTACCTGGTAAATCAGGAAGGCAGTGGTGATACAATTCACTGGTGGTTGAATGATTAGTGCTGCTAAGTGGGTTTCTTTCATATATAAACACTTAGAATGTAAGCCAAATGCATTGTTCTGCAGGAAGACATGGAGAAGCATCAGTTCCAAGTGTTGCCCAAACATTTTGGGTTTCAGGGACTGTGACTGCAGCCTGTTCTACCATGCTCCACTGTCAATTTTTATGGTGCTGCGGGATTCAGCTGCTGGTCAGACTTTTTCTCTTACTTTAAGTAGCCCTTGATTCTAATTTCTGAAGTAAATAGAAATTAAGGCATCTCCTTCTATCTACAGTCCATCCAAGTACTTTTTTTTTTCTAGTACTGGGGATCGAACTGGAGACCTTGAGCTTGTGAGGTAGGTGGTAGCACCACTGAGCTAAATACCCATCTACAGTCCATCCAAACTTCCATAAATCTGAAGATCTCCCTTCCTGTTTCTGTCCTGTTGTTCTGCCCCTTTGACTGGTCTTCAGTCCCTGCCACCCCTCTTTTAGGCATTGCTTTTTTGGTTCTGTGGTTTTTTTTTTTGAGACAGAGTCTAGCAATGTAGTTCAGGCCTGCCTTGAACCCACTAGCCTAGGTTGGTATTGAACTCACAGCAGTTCTTCTGCCTCAGCATCTCAAGTGCTGGGATTATAGGCATATGCCACCATGCATCTCTATCTCTGTGCTACTAGCCCATAACACATGTACTTGTCTTCCACTTACAGTGTCTCATCCCTCATTTGAAACTGTTTTCTGAGTTTTTCTAACTCTGTTCTTCTGATCCATACCTTTCTTCCTCCTCCTCTGTCTCCTCCTCTTCTTCTTCCTCTTGTTTCTCGTCTTTCTCGTTTTCCTTTTTTCTTCCTCTTCCACTTTTTCCTATTCTCCTCCTCTTCTTCCTTCTGTTTTTGAGATGGGGTCAAACTATGTAGTTAAATTGGCCTTTAACTCACTATGTAGCCCACACTGGCCTCTGATTTGTGGTGATCCTCTTGCCTCTGCCACTCAAGGGCTGGAATTACAGGCATGTGCCACCACTCCCAGCTCTACCTTTCTTCTTTACAGAGTAACTTAAGAAAATTTAAATTTCTAGTTTGTAAAGAGATTATTTTTAAGTTTAAAAATATTTCATGTAGAAAAAAAGCTTCAAGAATAGTAGAAAGAATTCTTGTGTCTCCTTCACCTGGATCCATCAGTTGTTAACATTTTGCCCTGTTAGCTTTTTCATTCTTTCTTTATTCCTTATATTCGCATTGTTTTTAATCTGAAACATTTGAGGTAAGTTGCAGATCTCATGGTGCTTTTCCCCTAATTGCTGTAGGGTGCATTTTTCTAAGAACAGGGACACTCACCCTCCACTCGTGATCACAGTACAGTAAGTCACATTGAGAAATCTAACTGATATTGCACTGTTACCTAGTATGATACTTTAATTAAATTTTGCCAGTTGTCCTGATAACATCCTGAATGTTGTTTGTTTGTTTGTTTGTGTTTTAGGACCAGAATCTAGTCAGCATCATATATTTAAGTTTTTTTTTTTTAAAGTTTTTGTGTTTCTTTAGTCTTTGGTAATCTTTTAAATTTCTCAGACTTTCTTTTTTTCTCTGCATACTGGAAATCAAACTCAGAACCTTGCGCTTGCCATGTAGGCATGGCACCTGCTGAGCTACATCCCAGCCCCATCTCAGACTTTTTTTTAACCTTTTGTAATAGGTATTTTTGAAGTGTACATGTCATTTGTTTTGTGAAATCAACTTCATTTACTGAGTTTTAAAAATCTTCAATGAACTCTAAATTTTATACAGTGCATCTTTTATATCTGTTGAGATTACCAGATGATTTTTCTCCATTAAAAATGAAAGTTGGATAAAACATACGTATAAAGTCTGCTAGGTGTGGTGGCACATGTCTATAATCTTGGTGCTTGGGAAACTGAGGCAGGACAGTAGCTGTGAGTTTGAGGCCAGCCTGAGCTACATAGTGAGCTCACATTCTCGATTCCTTAGGGCTTTCTCCCTACCAAGCAATAAGCACTAATTTGATTTTTATTGTTAATCATGTCCTTGATTTTCTATCTAGTTTTAGCACCTCCAAATAATCCAACTTTATCTTTTCTGCATTTGAAATAAGTGAAATCAAACAGGAAATACTAATTTGTGGATTTTGCATATAGCCTGAGTATATTCTTTTTTAACAACATTCTGACGTTTGTCCATCTACTGTTGTGAGAGTATCGTTACTAATGTTGTCCATCTACAGTAGAGATATTGTTGAATATCTAAATTCAACTATTTGAATTATTTGGAACAGTTTTGCTGTGAACAATCTTGCATATGTACTTTGGGCACATGAGTATTTTTGAAGGACACATACCCAAAGAAGAATTACTGTCTGATGGAGTGTGCCTGTCTTCTACTTGAGTGGATAATACCAGTTTTCTAAAGTGATTAGTTTATATCCATGTCTTTGCCCTTCATTTTATCTGCCAATTGGTATTATCAGATTTTTAAACTAGAGCCAATCTGACAGTGCAGATATATGTATACACACACACACACACACACACAAACAACAATATCACTTTGTGATTTGAATTTGTATTTTCTTTATTCTGAGTTTGAACTCCTTTTTATGTGTTTGTTGGACATCTGCATTACTTTTCTTTGTTTTTGGTACCAGGGATTGAACTCGGGTCCTTGAGCTTACAAGGCAGGCGGCAGAACCACTGAGCTAATCCCTGGTCCTGCATTACTTTTCTTGAAGTGTTCAGATCTTTTGGTTGAAGGGTAGGGAAAAATATAGATTTTTATTTTTAGGAGTTTTGTGTACATTTGAGCTTTTTTTTTTTTTTTTTTTTTTTTTTTTTTTTTTTTTTTTGTTCCTTTTTTTGGTACCAGGGATTGAACTTGGGACCTTGGGCTTGCAAGGCAGGCAGTGGCACCACTGAGCTAAATCCCTGGCCCATTTGAACTTTTTTTTTTTTTAGTTTCTTGTTATGTAGTCCAGCCTGGCATTGAATTCACTATGTAGTCCAGGCTGGCCTTGGATGTACAGAGATCCTCCTGCCTCAGCCTCTTGGGTGCTGGGATTACTGGCATGTCCCACCATGTCCAACTTTGTGCGTTGTACTGTAACATTCCTTGCATTGTCCTTTTGGTGACCAGAAGATAGTCATTTTAATGGAGTTAAATTTTTGTTTTGCAGTGCTAAGGATCAAATCCAGGGCCTCACACATGTTAGGCAATTGCTCTGCCACAGAGCTACACTCCCGGATCTTCGCTCTTTTTATTGCTTTACAAGTTTTATGTCTTTCTTTAACATTTAGTTCTATAATCAGTGTGAAATTAAGTTTTGCTTATTGTATGTAAGTTGGCTTCAGTTTCATTTTTGTATTGTCATAATACCATTTATCAAAAGTATGTCCTTTCTCTGCTGCCCTGGAATGTCACCTCTATTACAGTGTAATCTTTGCTTATGAATCATTTGTGTGGACTTCCTTCTTTTCCAGCTGTTGGTTTGTCGCTCAGCTCATACCACATTGTCTTGATTATGGTAGATTTATAGAGGGCTTACAGATATTTGTAGAAAATTTATAGATATCTAATAGAGCAAGGCTTCCCACCTGGATTTTCTTCTTCGATGTGAATTCTTATCTGTGGTCCTTTGCATTCCAAGATTTTAAATTCAGGTCAGGTTTTAACTAAATAAAACAGAACACTTGTTAGGATTTTAATTGAGTTTATGTTAAATCCATCAGTCAGTTTGGAGACTACTTCCTTCTTTGTAATATTTAGACTTCCATTCTATAAGTGAATATTCTTTCTATTTAGGTTTTGTCTAATGTCTCAATACAATGTTGTCATTTCTCTGTTATTTTCCCTGTATATTTTAAAGGAAATCTAAAACATAATAGTATATCCAATTAAGGATTTAAAATAAGTCTAACTCCAATATCATTATACATTCACAAAAATTAACACCAATGCTTTCTAGTTTATCAAGCTATGTCTAATTTTCCCTGATAACCTCCGAAATGACTTTTTATGGTTGCCTTATTGAACAATAATCCAGAAAAGGTCCACACGTCATAAGTAGATGTGTCTCTTATGTCTCTTTTTGTTTACAGGTTTTTTAAAAAAATCTTAAACCTCTTTAAGTCTGTAGTGGTTCTCTTTCAACTTTTCCCACTTCATTTAAGAAGTCATTAATTTTGTAGGATTTTCCACGTTGTGGATTTGCTGGTCATTATTTCTTCCCTGTCTTTTCTCTAAACTTGAATTTGTGTTTGGAGATTGATTAGATTCTGCTTCAATTAGAAAAAATTCACATGATGTTTTGTGTACTTCTTATAAAAATACAGTAATGTGTGGTTGTCCTGCTTTTAGAAATGTTAATACTGAGCATTGGGCTGAAGTGTTTGTCTTTAGCTTTATAAAATTTCTCAACTCCTAATGATGTTGCTTGGATTTGTTATTTTATGATGAGGTGGAAATGGCAGTTTTCTTTTTATTGCCTGTGAGATCTGTAGTATTGGTTCTTTTTTCCATCCTATTATTTGTTATTTGTGCCTTTTCTTTCTCTTTTCTTTCCCCCCAGATAATTCTTACCAGAAGGTTATTGGTTTTATTAGATATTTCAAAGTTCAAGTTTTGGCTTTGAGTTTTTTATTGTATGTTTAATTTCTAGTTCAGACATTTATTCTCACATCTGTATTATCTTCTTCCTTGAGTTTTAAAAAATTTAATTGCAGGCTTTTTTCTTCCTTTGAAGG